GGGGGTGCCGTACTAGATGAGAAAATCTGGTCTGGTGCTCGTACTGACATCGCTACTTCACACATCACGATGCTGTCTCCCGCTTAGAATATAGCTCGCTCGCTGGTCCTGGACTCTGTTTCCAAGAAAAGACGCTGTGCGGCTTGGGAGGGCACAGCATTTGCATTTTCTCTAATTCCTTTTGCTAGTGTCATATTAGCTAACAAGTCTCTCTTCGGTAAGACATGTAAATTGTTGTAAATCTACGAAGTTGTACAAATGTGCCACCATAGTTAAAATTTACAAGTCTTCACAAGTTGGCCCGTACAAGCCTCCCTGAGCACCATTTGGTGCGCCCACCAAGCTAAACTGTGCCAAAAAAATAAAGTTGTGGGAGCTAAGAAGGCGCAGAAGCATTATATTACTTCAAGTTGTGCTATTTTTGCACACCTTAAGTAAGAGTGATCACCTCTGAACCATCATACCCGGGTTACAGAAACATTCTAGAACTATTCGAGGAATACTCATGTGATCACTGATTCTCCTTGTGTGCGCAGTCCACGGCTGAAGTATGGGCGGAGTCAGGCCCACCACTGGGTTCCCAGAGAACGGATCAAATTTCGGTCCAGATCCTGGGTAAAGTTAGAGTAGGACTCTACATGACTATCCCGTTGCCAGGCTACGGTCAAAAAGGCTGTCACAGAAAAAATATCGAATATAAGACAAAACAAAAAAAAGACGATGTTGAACCCACTCACCAACTCGGCACGAATCATCGCAGCGTCGATTTCGCCTTTCCGCAGCTTGTCGCGTAAAACATGCTAAAAATTTAAAGGATCTTTTAGCTCTTGTCTATGGTTGGCAACAACAAAAGCAAGGTACTCACAGCATTCTTTACATCAGTGAAGAGACAAATGCGAATTGCACGCCGTTGTGTGATATCATAGGGATCGGGTTGAAGCTCATACAAGCGAGAGGTACCCGGCGACATTCGTTTTTGACGCCTCAAAAAACTAATTTTCAACGGAAAATCACTTTCAAAACGGCTCGCTCCGAAACTCTAGCACAAAATCAGTCGAATAATCAATTAATCGCTAAATCAACGGCCACCATGCACTTCTCACTGTGGCTTAAAAAAGAAAAAAAGAAGTCTCGAAATGTAAGTAATCCTGAGTATTCCCACCCTTTCATTCTCTTCTCGGTCTTCACTTCCCTTTCACTACGCTATACAATGTTTTAATAAGAGCAGTTGAACTTTTGCAAAAAATAAGAAGAAACACATGGATTTCACGGTACATGAATACTTTACCGAGCTTTCAACCCTTCTTATTTAGTACAACAATGCAAAAGTAAAAAAAGAATAGCTAGCAGGAAATTCTGAGAAAACGTATACGCACAAGCTTTCCCAGCAGAGACGGCTCTTATCTATAGGATTTCAGAGCACTTCCAGATCCTATCTAGCTACTTTCTGTGCCCTCAAGGTATCAAATATCCTCCAGCGGGCATGATGGTGTTCCTCTGTGCAACACATGCTAGGTCTTACGCAAGAAACTTCAGAGACCAAAGGCTAAAATGGCCTAAAGTGGGAAGATCCACGCTACGTTGCCGGAACGGCATCACGTGCGCGACACTCGCACCAAGGCCAAGCTGATTTAAAGACGGTCCCCGCGCTCGCGTAACTCGTGGGCGCCCTTCTATGTACAAGCAGTCTGGTCCTCAGCTTCTAAGATTACCCATTTTTCGCGGCTTCACAGCAACTAACGAAGGCGTTATGGCCCTCATAAAGTCACGGTCCGCGATCAGGTATCGAAGTTGAAAATATAGCGTCAGGAGGTAAGAGTGGTCCGCGACAAACAACCT